CGAAATCGGCTTGTGTTCGAAAGTGGCTTGTTAATAGTATTTTCGTGTTCGACTCGATTTAAATATTCGTGTTTCTGTTTGACTCGAAATTGACTCGTTAAAATTAAATTGAAAAAAAATAGATGTAAAGTGTTGTATTCGAACTTGGACCAAATGTATGCAAAAGAAATCACTAACTACATTACCACACAAGGTGTTACGATTTAAACTTAGATATAAATATATATAATATTTTTTTTATTTCGAGCTAAAATGATTCGAACATGAGCGAACAAAAAGCTGTTTGCGTTCGGCTCATTTATAATTCGAGCTTTAAAAACTTGTTCGTGTTCGACTCATTTACTTAACAAACGTGCCGAACACAAGCTATTCACGAGCAATGAGTTTTTTTGACAGCCCTAGTGGCTACGAACCTGAAAGTGTAAAGAGCTAGATGTTATCATAAGAAAGTCGACTGAAAGCTCATGTGGCTTGAGCAACAACATAAGATATGGCTACAAAGCCGAAGACGTAAAAAAAACGAGATGTTCTCATAATAGAGTTGAGTACCATGTCATATGGCTCGCGCATCATCGGAATAAATAGTTATCTAAAGCTAAAAATGCTCTCATGGAAGAACCGACCAAAAAGTTGTATGGTTCGAGAGATTCCAGGTCAAATGACTACAAAACCCATTGTGCCTCGGAACGAGGTGTTACCATCTAGAGTTGGCCAAGTGAAAAAGTTACTTCCATTGATTGGAACATCATATAATCAGGGAGGTATGTACCCCAATCGAATAGTCTAAGGAGTATGTACCCTGACTATATATCAAATAGGATAGAAGATATGCATCCTACCTAGACACATATCAATTGACACAGGAGATATGTATCCTGACCATGTATCAAATAGGATAGAATGTATGTATCCTGCATATGCATTAGATGAGCAACCTTACGACGAGATGGCCTGAGGCGACATGCTCAAAATGTGTTAGCGCACAAAGAGATCTGAAAAGGAGTGATGCTTCCCTTGAAGGGTGTCGGTTTTGACTGATCGAGGGACTCTATCGAAAGAGCAAGCATCAAATATAGTCAGACATCAAAGTACTTTGACAAAACATGGACCGTTTGTAAACTGATATGACGTGTTCGACATGGCAGACAAAAGCAACCAAACCGATCATGAATATCAATGGGGTTAGATAACTAGGATACTACCTTCACATGCACTGACAAAGATAATTTGCTGGGGATTCCCCCACCACATAGCAAGGTAGCTCTTGCTGGGGAGGCATCAAATATCTCATTAAAGATATGAATTAGTTAATCAACTGATAATAATATGTCATTCGACGAGGCAGGCCATAACAACTAGGTAGACTCATAAGTCCTACCATAGTTTGCTTTAAGCAAGCACTAGTGAAGTAACTTTCGCTGAAAGATCCCTCAGAACTAGCGAAGTAACTCTTGCTGTGGAAAACTCAACAGATATTTTCCGCGAGAATTGACTAAGGCAATTCTCGTTGGGGAAAGTACCCGGTCAATCGCCAGACATCAAAAGTGGCTCTGACTAAGAACATAGATCAGATAGACAATCGATGAATTCTAAAATTGATACGACATGCTACCTTGACAGGGTAATAAAAATTGCCCGAGTCAAGAATATTAAAGAGGTTGGATAATTAAAACATAACAACCCTATAAATGACACTGCCACCAACGATTTTGGTAGAATAACTTATGTTGGGGAATCATCATAGTATCCAAGAATGATTGGCCAAAATATAGAATACTAACCCTAAAGGTATTTAGCTCTCAGGCTAAACCCAGAAAGGGTGATAATATATTTTCAACAATCTTTTTTTAGTATTTTGATGATAGCTTGTTTTCTTAATAATAGCATTCTAACCATTGTAAAAATATGTAGTTCCTTATGATAGGAGAGTAAAGGGGTTACCTACCTTTCTTTCTTTATAGGAGGCTTATAGCCTGTCTGTATAAAGAAATAAATAAATATTTTTAATTGGATCAAATCAAAATAACCCTTGAGCGGTTGAAGTTGAGAGTGGGGCTTCTTTGAGTCATTTCGTTTGTAGCATTCATTCAAACCAGAGAATGAGCGCGCGAGAGGGAGTGCAGAGATATCGAGAGATGGAAATCTGGTGCGTGCCTTAGCTGATTGAAAAAAGAAAAAAAGAGAAGGAAGGGAAGAGGAGGAACCACAACATCATGAAGGTGTCTCACGTGTGGCACATCTTTCGTGCCGAACCCTAGTCGAAGAAAGGAAGGGATCAACTTCATGCGCTGTTGTTGTGTGAAGGAGAAGGAGAAGAAGCGAGCTAGCGTCGTGGGTGGAACGATGTCGAAGAAGGAAGAAAAAGGAGGAGGCGGCATCGAGGGTTGCACTATCGGATTGAGTTGTGATAGAAGGCAGAGGAGGAAGGAGTGCTCGCAGTGAGTGGGATAGAGATTTCGAACGAAGCTAAGGTGAGTTATTTGAAACCTTTAAGTTTGAAATGTTTAAATTTAATTAATTAAGTAGGTTATAATATGAACATTTAAATTTTATGAATATAAAACAAACATTATAGTGGAAGATCGTGTCTAAAGGACTATTGATTTGAGCAAATATTGATAAGGTAATTTTAGGTTATACTCTTTTAATTAGCTAATCATATGCATATTTAAGTTTATTCTCTTATCTGTTAATAGTAGATGCATTTGAAATCATGACGTAATTTAGTGAGAGAGATATAGTTTCTAGATCGTGAGACAAATTATTTTGAAAGATAAGACATATTTTAATTAAAGGTAAAGTTTAATTTACTTAATTCAAAATTAATATTAATAAAATATTAATTCATAATAATAATAATTAAGATTGTAGAACATTTGAATCTAAAAGGTCTGAAGATAGGGAGTTGGTGAGATGAATAAGCAAGATAAGATGAGTAATTAGGTTTTTGTTTGTATTAAATTAATGTTTTATTAAATGAGTATCTGCATTATTTATTAGTTTAAAATTAAATATTTTTCTCATCTCTTACATTTTGAAAGATTTAAATATGTTTTACAAATATGAGGAAAATAACTGACAAGTGAAAGTACATTTTCAATAAATTTTAAATGATATGAAATGATAATTAAAAGATTAAACCATACATGATTATCTCCAGATGGTACTGATAGAGGATGTAATGTACCCGTTCACGATAAATGAAAAGATAAAGATGTACATTCAGGTGTAAATTTTGAGAGTATCTACAGTTACAATTTTGAGAATACCTTCGGATATGATGACAATTCTGATATGATTCTCAAAAAGCTTAAAAATGGTAAATACTTAAATTGAAATGATAAAGAATAAATTTAAAGTAAAAGTTTACAGTTTTATAAAATAATGAACTGCAATTCTTTTGGTCATTTACGCATAATTTTTCTTTATAAATTTAATGCTTATTAAGATATCAATTGCTCACTAAGTCAAAATTACTGTTGAATTTAATGCTTTATTCTAGGAAAATAAACTGTATATTGATATATCTGACATGAGAGACTTAAGTTTATAGAAGGATGACTATAATTGATAGGTACTCTGTTATGCTTCCGTGATAATAGTTTCTTTTTGTACTGTTTACTTAAGAGTGAAGATACTGTTGTGTGTGAATTGAGATGTTTACTTGTAGATTATGTTATTATTTTTGGGTGTTTTGATATCTGTATGGTATATTTTGTGATTTCTTAGTGACTCTTTTATCTATATTGAAAATTTATAGAAATTTGTGAATAGTTAGTTAAATGTTAAAACTGTTCGACCGCAGTTCATGCTTAGTTAATTCTAAACTACCAGGTCGGGGCTTGACATAGTCACACTGTCAACCTTTTGAATCACCATTATCATTATTATTTGCTTCATTTGAACCATTAATCTTGTAGTTTCTACAAATTCTCATATATGTTGTGAGCTTTTCTAAGCAAATGTTTAGTGCCTTGTTGGATTCTGTTTATGCCACTTTAGTTTTTAATGCAAACTTATGGAGTTATAAGGTTAAATGAATCATGCCCATGACCAACTGTAAATTTCTCATTTTTGGAATTTAATTTCATTGCTTTTGTTGGCTTGCCATTTTATGATATTTTTGGGGTTAAATTATGTCAAATGAATTGACATGAAAATTAAGCTATACTAGAAGCTCTAATGCAGCAGCAATTGTGTAGAACCTTGCCCCTCAGTTTGTTTCAATTTCCAATCTGAAGTCTTTTATTTGCTCTTTTAATTTAATTTCATATGATCAATAGATGCTATGGTTGACCAATAGGTTGCTTCTTTTTTTTGATGAATCTTTTAGGGGCTGTTTGGGATAACTTTTGTTATTTGTTTTTTCTTTTTATTTTGTTTATGTTTTGATTTTAAACAAAGCATATTTGGCTATTTGATTAAATTATGATTTTCTTTTAAAAACACTCTAAACACTTCAAAGTTGATTCGAGTGTTTTCAAAAGAATGTTAATTTATTTTTAGAAATAAGAGAAGAAAAATATGTGAAAAATACAACAAACATGGTTTTAAAAACAAAACAAAAAACAAAAACAAGAGCACTAAAAAAGAAACCTTTTGGCATCTGTTTGATTTTTTTTTCTTAAAGGATGCTTATCCAAGATTGTATATTTAGTTTCCCTGTGTTGTACCTATCGGTACTTCTTCTCATGGGGAGGTAGTCTTTGCTTCACCTAGACAGCATAATTGTTATAACTTTATATTGATTATAAATTTTCTCTGATAATTTTACCAATTAACATGTACTCTATTGACAAATAGTTTTTACGAATCTGCTACAGTTTATGGTTAGCTGCTTGGCTGACAAAGGCTGTCCTCATTTCAGTTTTCCTCTGGTTATGTTAACAAGTCTTATGTAAGGTGCACTACTTCGAGGAATCATGGTCGAATTTTCAGAACAACCTCCCCCTCCTGGTGCAAATCTGCTACCACCTACTTCATATTCTTCAAATCCAAATCCTTCTTTCTCTTTTCAGCATATCTCTTCCACCAATACTGAGCACACTGGATATCCTATATCACCTTTTTGCCAGAACCCTAACCCACATTTTCAGACGACTTCTCCGCATGTTCCTGTTCATGAATTTTCACCTTTTGTTCAAGGTGTTGCTACACAGTACTTCTGTTCGTTACCAAACAATTTACGAACTCAACCTTGCAATTTATGGAACTCAGATTTGAACCAAACAGGCAATGGCATGGCTAATTCTTTCAGTCAATCAGATGGTCCAGTTAATGTGGTTAAGCCTTATAATCCAAATAGTATGGATCCGCATGGTACACTGAAGTCAACCTGCCCTGGTGAAAGTGATAAGGATCTCCGTTCAGTTGTTCAAGTTGCTGTGGATAAGGGGATAATTGAGCAAAAAGGTGATTCAGCTGGTAATGATTTATAATCCGAGGAAGATTTACATATATCTTATGTATTTACATATCTAACGCCTAAACTTTAATTTTTACATAAGTGCCATTTTTGTTTGCATGAAAAGTGTATTTTTTTTTTCAAAAGTTAAAAAATGGTGTTTTTGATGTGGTATGAATGATTTGGTTGGTATAAATGTAAAAAACAGAATTTTGGTGTTAGATATGTAAATTGTTTCTTTATCAGTCACACATGAATATTAGTGTTACTTGTACATGTTTTTATTTTCTTCCCTAGAGTTTAAATACTCCAGCTCGTGCGCTAGAGACTCCAGTGACATTGAATCTGCAGCCCAAGTGGCAGTGTTTCGTGAGCAAGTATGGCTTACCCAGAATGAGTTTAAGGCTAGATACTTTTTGCAATATTAAATAAACAGTAACTTTGTTGTGCAGGAAATTACAACACAACAAGTTATAAATAATCAAAGGTTAGTCAATTTTCATCCTCAAGTTCCTGTTCTGGTCGTGTGTTTTTGCAATTAATTGTTTTGTTTCGTTATTTTTACTGTTATCTCTCATTGTTCCCTTCAGATTAGCTAAAGCAAAAAATGGGACTTTGGAAGATGATCATGATATTCTGTCTGGACGGCATGACCCTAATTCACTGAAGGTGAGAAATGGTGTTTCCTCTCTGTTTTTTTCTTTTTCATTTTCATTTTTTATTGTCTTAGCTTTTTTTTATATAGGAAAATTTACATACATAACACACAATTATTATGCATTTACATATCTCACACTTAAACTTTCATATTTACATGCATGACACTTTGGTGCTTACCTATGCATAAAAAGATGTATTTCACTTTTGAAAAGTGATAGTAGTGCTATTTTTGGTGTGATATTGATGATTTGAGTGCTATGCTGGTAAATATAAAAGCTTAGGTGTGAGATATGTAAATAAACAAGAAGCGTGTTCTATGTGTGTATACTCTTTCCTCCTGGTATTGCGAGAATTAATATTTGTCATTAACGCTGCAATAGGAACATTTATTGAAGATGACAAGTCAACACCGTGCAGAATTGTCGAACAAACGAGGAAAATTTGTCCATCAAGAGAATGGTTTGTTTTCTACATTACATCTTCCTTGTAGATTGTCGGCCTTTACTTTCAAATTCAACAGTTCGATTTTTTGACATTCTTTGTTTATACTCATTTGAAGGATACTATGTTGTTTAAATGAATTGATAATATTTATAATGTTTTTTCTTTGAAATGACATCTAAAGTTCAGGCACTTATTGGTAAATGATAATTTTATGAACCAAAATTCTACCATTCAGCAGACTTGATATCTTAAATTATGTGTAGGAATTATAAATATCAAAACAAAACATAGAAAAATAAAGATATATAAAAATTATGCATGGTGATATCATTATTTTACTGGAAGACCAATTTGTTGATGCAACATTATATTGTTTAGAGGTGGTTTTTTGGTGAAGCGATAAGCTCTCTCTAATGTTACTTTGTGAAATAGAACATGTTTCCAGTTGTGCTCCTAAGATCCTAACAGAGGACAGGATTCTATGATAAAGAGAACTATTTGTTGCACTTGCAAGCGTTAACAGTTTCCTCCTGGTTGAAAAAGGCTTAGTCTGTTTAATAGATCAAATTTTCTAAATTGATGCACGCTTACTATTTTGTTCATTGTTCATCTGTTTTGGAATTATTAACACTCATATTGATTCATTTATTTTCGAGGGATAATTACATACATGGCAATTGAAACATTGCTATTTACAAAACTAGCATCCATGTGATTATTTTGAACCATAGAATTAATGCATTTATGCACGCCATGAGCAAAACTTTGGTAATTTGATAAAAAGGAAAAATATGGGTTGATGTTCAATTGTGATTTTTGATATTTGCGCGAGAAGTTGAAAAATGAATGAAAGAGGGTGCTGGTTTTGTAAATAGCAATATTTCTAGCGCCATGTTAAATTGCGTAAATGAAAGTTATAAATATCTCAGTAACATTAATTTTCAACTTAAGAATGAATGTCAATCAATGTTTACTAGTTAGATGTCCTTTACGTGCAGTAGAAATTATGAAAATAAAGAAGAAAACTTGGAAAAGCTCGTTGAATCCTGCCACTGACACTGGAAGGTTGATGTCTTGTGTTGTAGCATGTGTGATGATTTGATTAGACATTGTGCGAAAAGGATGACAGACATTAATATTTACTTTTCAAATTATTGACAAATTTGCCTGATTTTTCCTGCACGTATGCTAACAAACTATGAATGACAAATTTAAAAGACTTTAATTTATTTTCTTTGAGAAGGTTGAATAACTGATCATTTTTGGTTGTTATGCACACACAAATATTGCCAAAGACCTTATAAGTTTCTTTGTTTTTATATAGTAAACAAAACCTGTAATATTTTTTATAAATATCTAATTTCAAAAGAGTAGTGGGGAATCTCAGAAATTTCACAAAGTACACTATACCAAGTAATGTGTATGCAGCAAAGTAGATCCCATTTAGTTTTTACTAATTTTGAATTGCTCATCATGAGCCATTTAGATTTTCAAACTGGTTCAGATAACGCAACAACGTCTGTATAAGTTTCAAGAAGCGAGCAACTAAACGACGCTCATACTAGCAAAGAAAGTGGTTGCATTAGTGATTATGTCATGTTGAGTCTTTCCATGAACATTTGCAAAATAAAAACAAATCTCATATCAGCAAACATTTTATGTATAACTAAAGTGATTGCATATGTGAAACTCATCAAAGCAACTTATTCTTTCTATAGTAAATTGATTACTCCTCTTTGATGTGATGAAAGAACTTATGAGTAGCTTTATATGAGATAGATTGGGTTAATTCAATCAGATTTCCCTTGTTGGATCGATGCTTCTTTAGGTCTAGGCTGTCGACTTCCTATATGCGTAAAGCCTTTATAGTTAATTGCCCTTCCATTAACTGTAGAGCACCCTCAATTAAGAAAGTTTATTAGGCCATAATTTTGGTCTATATTTGATATTTGGATGCCAACTTAATTAAAGCAGAATTGTTTGGGGGATGAAGGTAAATTTCATAAAGATTACATAATTTTTTCATTTCGAGTATATACCAACTGAATTAGTCTTTAATGTTCAAAGGTTTTGAGCTGTAACGTCCAATAATCTTAATTTACATGTTCGGGCTCATGTGACTAAATTGTTTCAAGGAAAATAACATGATCGCTTGTAGTTTAGATTTCAGAGGTATTGAACATAATTGATAAGAGCTTAGAGGCATAAAATGGCCATTCATTGTTAAGGAGTTCTAGTTTGGTTGAAGAAGTTTGTAAGACAAATATGAGGTTTTGGTTGGCTAGTTCAATTTTGGTTAATGGGCCCATTAACATTCGAGCTGACGCAATTTTAATTTGGATTTTGATTTACATCCATTACAAGGCCCAATATTTCAATTAATGGATATGTTGGCTTTATATTGGACCGATTAGTGTAGTTGGGATTTACATCCTTAGGAATGTTGAGGGCGAATTAAGCACAAATTGAAGGCTATATAATTATCTTTTTTACTTTAATAGGAGTTTTATGACGTATAACACTACTTGTTAGTAATTTATACAAAACCTGTACTATTTTTTAGAAATATCTAAACTTCAAAATTGTTGTGGTGAATCCTAGTAAATTCATAAATTACACTTTATTGAGCAATGTGTATGTAGACAGGTAGATCCTTTTTTTTTTCATTAATTTTGAATAGCTTGTCATGAACGATTTAGTTTTGCAAACTGGTTAAGATAATGCAACAACGTTGAATATGTTTCATGAAGGCAACATTTAAAAGAGGCTTATATTAGCAAAGAACGCGGTTGCATTAGAGATTATGTCACATTGAGCTACTCTTTCCGTACCATTTGCAAAATATAAATGAATCTCATATCAACAAAAATTGTATATATAACTGAAGTGATTGCATGAATGAAACATATCCGAGTGACTTATTCTTTCTATAGTAAATTATTACTTATTTTTGATGTTATGAGGGAACTTATGAGTAGTTTTCTTTGAGGTAGATTAAGTTAATTCAATAGATTTTTCTTGTTGATGGATCTATGCTTATTTAGATATGTTCTGTAGACTTCCTATATGAATAGACTTTTATTGTTAATTGTCCCTTCCATTCACTGTAGAGCACTCTCAATTAATACAGTTTCTTTAATTTAGGCTTATACTTGATAATTGGATGCCGATTTAATTTAATGAGAGAATTGTTTGGGGGATGAAGGTAAATTCCATAAAGATTACATGATTTTGTCATTTCGAGTATATCAACGGACCTAGTTAACGTGTAAGTCTTTAAGCCGTAACATCCAATGATCCTAGTCAGTAGCCATGGGTTGCCTTCACTTACGTGCAATTTAGGGCAAATGTGTGCCATGTAGATATGCTTTGAGGCTAATTTCAAAAATTCGCCGGCAAAGTGTTGTCCACAGTTTTTTTACTATATTGTTTAAAGGAAAATAACTTGATTAATTGTTGACACTAGAGGTCTTGGACATAATTGATAAGATCTTAGAGGAATAACATGGCCGTTCATTGTAGGGAGTTCTAGTTTGGCTTGGAGAAGTGCGTCCGAGTCAAATATGAGTTATTGGTTGGCGAGTTTGATTTTGATTAATGGGCTAGCTAACAATATAGCTGACCTATTTTTAGATTGGATTTTGGTTTACATCTATTACGGGACTCAATTTTTGATTTAATGAATGCGTTGGGTTCATATTGGACCGAGTAGTGTTGTTGAGATTTACTTTCTTGGGAAGCTATATGAGAGAGACTTACAAACTAGAGGGAGAAGTAAGTACAAATGAAAGGCGATTTGGATTTTCTTTTTTATTTGAATAGCAGTGTTATGAATTATAACTCTAATAATTAAATGGCTTCATAAATTAGTATTTATAAATTTATATTTAAAGGTTCCAATGCAGCCCTTGTTTTTTTCTAATGTTAGAATTACCTATAAAGATGAGTCGTACGATCTTGTTCTATAAATGATAGGTTTTACTACCTCTTCTTATATGTAAAGTGACTTAGTTACTAAATTTAGTTATATTTTATTTTTTTGATGTAACATTTATTTTAACACACCTTTTGTGGCAATGACTAACAAGAACCTTTAGGTCAACTAGGAAGTATCAAGATCGAGCTATGGTCTTCAGTCTATCTACTTGATCTTGATCAACATAATAAGTTATAACCATATGGGTGTTATAATAATTTAGTTCTTTGATGGTTATTTGGTCATTATTTACTTTTAGATAGCATGATTGTCATCTTGAGTAACTCGAAGATTTGTTGAAACTCTTGGGTTGAATTTGGAACCATTTGGAGGTTATGGCACATTGGCATGTTTTTTCATTTATTGATGCATTTATTTTTGCATTTGATTAACATTGTTTTTCATGCTTGACAATTATCATGATGACGATGAATCCACATCTCTTTGTATTGTTTAAACACATTTTTGATGAGTTGGTGTCTTAACAATTTCACTTTGCATCAATAGGTTTATTGGTACATTGACAAGCGTATCATAGGTTTATGCATTATTTATGGACATGTAGGCTATCCATGGACGAATTTTACTTTTGATTCATCCTCTTGGGATATTATTGTAATCAAAATTTAGGTTTTTTTTTTGCCATTTTGAGTTTGTTCATTTTGGCTTTCATCAAAAGGAAAAAATATATGTTGGTTTTGGATTTAATGCAACCAAATCTTATCTTCAATGCTATTTTTTTGGCCAATTGATGAAAATTGACTAGAAAACGGTAGTGGTTACATGTTGCACTCTTGAAGATGCATTAATAAAAAAGATAGATTGTCATTCAAAAGAGAATAATGATATAAAGAGACAAATAATATTTTCGTGGAAGACTTTGAAATCTCCCTGGAGAAGAGAACCACCAAGGTCTACCTTTGACATTGCATACAAGAGACATTAAAACATTAATCAATTTAACCTGCTTTTCTAATACAAACCGCTTTCTTATTTATAAGCATTCAAATACACTTTGCTGCATAATTTCATGGAGAAA